GGAGCACTGGAGTAGCGGTGGCCGGGCTCTGGTGGCTATTTAAAGGGCCCAGGGCAGTAGAGGCAGCAGGAGCCCCGGCCCTTTAAATAGCCCCTGGAGCCCCGCTGCCGCTACTCCAGGGCTCCAGCAGCAGGTCTCTGGTGGCAATTTAAAGGGCCTGGGGCTCCAGCCACTGCTGGGAGCCCCAGGCCCTTTAAATTGCCGCCTGGGGAAGCTGGGCCACCACTATACGGCGCACTGGCTCTTGCCGGTATGCCGTACCAGGGCATACCAGCTTACTTTCACCTCTGGGTTATTGTGCTCAAGGTGAAATCCCTTCCTAGAGGAGGGTAGGTGACTGCCAGAGCACTCAACTGTACTACATTGGAGCAAGATCAGGCAATCTGTTCTACTGCACAGCATACATACTCAGGTGGTCTGCAAGTAGCAGCTCTGAGCTCCTTTTCCTCCCTCACCTTCCTTCTAAGGAGCAAAGAGAAGTCTGTGTGGTAAGGAGGGCTGACCAGGAGGAGCTGAAAGTCTTCAGATAGCAACCTTAAAGTATGGGCAGTCAGCAATAGATTTAGAAGACCGACCCCTGCCTTAAAGGGGAAAGTGGCCATCATTAATTGGGGGATGGAGGAAGATCTGGCCTGTATTAACTGTGGGTAAGTGGGTGGGGGGCATCAGCATTAATTTTGTGTGGGAAGCAAGGATCTGGCACAGATTGTATAGCGTGAATGACATGAATCGTAGGGGGTTGGAGGAGAGCTGTATGAATTAAATTAGGGGCAGCCTGGGATGAGAACTCCCCTCCTTCTGGCATCCTGTGAGAAGTGTGGGCAAGGACTACCTCCTTCAAGCTTCCTAGCAGCCTGAGCGAGGACCTGGTCCCAAATGTGGAGCACGTGTGTTTTGTTGTACATCAAGCCATAAGCAAGAAATTATGTTTTAGAAGTATAAAAGCTATTTATAAGACTGTTTTCTCACTGTCTGAATCAAATAAGCCAGTTTTGCCATCTGTAACAGGCCACCCTCCCACTCCACGCCAATTAAACTGTTACAGATGGCAAAGCTAGCTTATTTGATTCACACAATGAAAAAACATCTTTAAAAACATGTTTTATAATTAAAAGCAGTGTAATTTGTTGCCTGTGGTACAATGTGCAACAGCGCACTGGTGTTCTACGTTTTGATAACTTGTTGCATTTTGATGGCTTGTGTCACACACATTAGAACAGGGGTGGGCAAACTACGGCCACATCCGGTCCTTCAGACATTTTAATCTGGCCCTCGAGCTTCCTCCAGGGAGCAGGGTCGTGGGCTTGTCCCGCTCCGCATGTGCTGTGGCTCCCGGAAGCAGCAATATGTCCCCGCTCCAGCTCTTATGTGTAGGGGCATCCAGGGGGCTCTGCATGCGGCCCCCGCCCCAAGTGCCACCCCCATAGCTCACATTGGCCAGGAACCGCGGCCAGTGGGAGCTGCAGGGATGGCACCTGTGGACAGGGCAGCATGCAGAGCCGCCTGGCCGCGCCTCCATGTAGCAGCCAGAGGGGGGACATACCGCTGCTTCCGGGAGCTGCTTGAGGTAAGCACTGCCGAGATCCTGCACCCCTGACTCCCTCCCGCGCCCCAACCCCCTGCCCCAGCCCTGATCCCCCTCCTGCCCTCCGAACCCCTCAGTCTCAGCCCGGAGCTCTTTCCGGCACAGCCAACCCTCACCCCCAGCTGGAGCCCTCACCCCTTCCTGCACCCTAACCCCCAATTTCCTGAGCAATCATGGCCTGCCATACAATTTTCATACCCACCCCTGCATTACAAGGTTGAGAGGTTTGCCAGTGGCACTTTTGGCAACTTTCTCCGCTGACCCCACTGACTTTTTGAGTGCACTGGACAAGACCCAAAGGAAGAGGAGTTCCTGGTGAATTGTACTGTATTACTCATGTCCCTTCCAGATGGACTTTCCACAGCTGGGGGCCAGTATTCTGACAGTGACTTGAACCCTATGTCTGTATATTTGAGAGTGATTCTAACCAACTATGTTTTAAACACTATTTGGGCTTTATTTACTTGACTTGAGGTCAGCTATAGAGCTGCCACCCCCTATAGTGTTGTGCTACTAACCTGATCTCACACCATAAACTAAATACTTTGGGGCTGTACTTTATATTGCCAAAACAGAATGTAGTGGTTTGTGACATTACTGTGAAATATGTCCTGCTGGCTTCTACATAGAGTTCACTTACACTGTACATTAGGGAGTTCAGTCATCCACCAGCAGCAAGGAAAGGGAATACAATGAGAGTAAAAATATTTGTGATGTATTATGGAGGATTCAGTGCCATTGGGAATTTTGTTTTATATTTAAAATAGCCTGACTAGACAAATGGGTTATAAAATGCTACCTATTCCTATGAAAATATGGGCATTTATCAGGAGAGTAACATAAGTAATACTCTGGTGCCTGGTAAAGTTTTAATCTATCTCAAAACTCATTTCAATTGTCACCTGAGCTTTTGCAGACAACACTTCGCAAAGTTTACTCATTTCTTTTTTATGTTTTAATTGTATTACAAAGCTGGATTTTCAAAAGGGAAGGGGAATTTTACTGTATTTTGAAATTTTCATTCCCTTTCTTCCCCCCGCCAAAAAAAAAAATAAGTTGATCTGTCTCTAACTCCAACAACATTCTGCAAGCCATCTATTAACCAATCGATCCTAAATAAACTGAATTAATTAATATAGTAAACCTTCAAAGAAAGAAAAGGTAATGGGATGAGGTAGGGTGGTGAAAGTGTAGCTCTCAGTGAACAAACAAAAAGAAGGAAAGACTGTAAGTAGGAAAAAGGAAAGGGAACCAACTAAAATGAAAGGATTAGCAAAGAATCCATCTGTTTGGTAATTTGTAATTATTACATTAATGACTTCTGTTACTCTATGTAATAGCAGCTGGCAGACAACCTACCTGCTTATTTGGTTGGCTATTTTTATATAATTCAAGTTAATCATTTGTTAGATGAGCTTGCTGGAGCTAAGAATGCTATATGATTGATGTTTTTCTGCATACCTCGGAAATAAAGTAAATATAAACTACAACTCATTAACGACAGTATTTGTTATGGCATTATACATCTGTAATTTGTTTGAAGTATTCTGTTGATATAGTTACTCAAGCAGTTTATAAGCAACTGCAAACCCCAATAATAAGTGGAAACTTTTCTTCCTTTTTTAGCTAAGTCACTTTAGCTAAGTTACTTTATTATTTTTAGGTTGTTGAAGCTTGAGATATGTAGTCAGTCCCCTTCCTGTGAAAGGGAAAACCACAATTCCTTGAGCAATGTTATTTTGATATTATAAATTGTATACGTTGTGCCAAATATTCAGCCCAGGCTTAAGTCTACACATTTGTCAAGGGCTGAATCTGATCCAAAGAGCATAACATCAGTTAAAACAGAAAAATTAATATGTATAAGAAAAAACTATCTGTGTGTTTCTGTGTATATGTAAGTACATGTTTTTATATATTTCTGTTTGTGACGTGAGAAGAAAAAATCAATGTGTTTAAATATAAAACTTTATGGGTGGATAAATTTAGAAACCTGGATGAAAAGAAGGTTGATCAAACAATAGAAAAGTAGCTATCTACAGTACATTTTGATTGCAATTTTACTAAATTATTTGAACATATCAATGGCTACACCCTTGCCTTTGAAATCTACAATGGAAACTGTTTGCAAGCTGTAAGTTGACTTAAAGCTTACCTCCTTGATACTGTAATGATCCATGCCTATGTACTTAAATTCTAAGGTAATAACTGCCTTCAAATTCTGGATTTCATTTTCAGAAACAGAAGGAAGAAAAATTATTTTTACTTAGTAAACTAAGGAGCAGCAAATACTGGGCCTGATTCTGGAGTGACTCAGTTGGAATAAATGGAGTTTCCGTGGTGTAAAATCTGTGTAAGAAAGAAGAGAATCAGGCCCACTCTTTTACTGGTGCATGAACAGGGCCCTCAACCCACCCGTAAAGTGATACAGTGGTGCACATATATGTGTTTAGTACTGTTTGTTCAATCACAGTTTGGGAATTAGTAACTATATACACCTCTACCTCGATATAATGCTGTCCTCGGGAGCCAAAAAAAGTATCGCGTTATAGGTGAAACCGCGTTATATCGAACTTGCTTTGATCCACCGGAGTGCGCAGCCCTGCCCCCCCGAAGCACTGCTTTACCACGTTGTAGCCGAATTCGTGTTATATCGGGTCGCGTTATATGGGGGTAGAGGTGTATCTAACATACTAGTTGTAAAAGTTATTGAACAAATTAAGTTAATCATATCCTTTTTAACTACACTGCATTGCTTTGAGGTCTAACAGAGAGCTAGTATAAAATGCTCTTTTGAAAACATAAACATTAATATACATAAAGGATAACTTAAAACTATTGATCCTGAATAAGCTCTGTGAGAATTCTTATGAGCAGAAAGAAATACACACTCTTACGGCATTCATCCCAATTTTAAGAGTGCTTTTAAAAAAGTTTTTGGAAGAAATCAGCATAAAATCAACAACTAATCAGTTGTGCGAAGGATAGTAAATTGACAAAAATATACAAAAAAATTATAAATTGAAAATTTTAAATGTATGTAAATCCATTAAATTTACAATAAAAATAGAATGTGTGGTAGCATTCTTAATGTAAAGATTTTAGGGGGGGAAAGATGGTCTACTGTGCTAAGAAGAGATATTTGTACAAATTAATGCCTCCTGAAATTATGAATCAAATCATTAGGCAGCCATAAAATGTGCTTTTAATATCTAAGAATTTATAATGCTTTGTGTGTACAGCCTTATCTAAGGGTCACCACAGAGCTTCTCTCCTGAAGTCTTTAAATGCTGCATTAACTCTTTGGCATGCTCCTCTTCCTTCACGTAACCATTAGGCAGAGAAAACAATGAAGTAGGTGAAGAGCAAACAAAAGAGAAGCCCAGGGACAGGCTCAGTCTCCCTGTGATGCTTCAGATGGCCATGACATAGCAGGTATGGAGTCTAACCCTGCGCCCAGCTGCTTGAGTAACTATCAAACTTGGAAAAAGCAACAGAGGGTCCTGTGGCACCTTTGAGACTAACAGTCTCAAAGGTGCCACAGGACCCTCTGTTGCTTTTTACAGATTCAGACTAACACAGCTACCCCTCTGATACTATCAAACTTGGGTTCTCTGGACAAAGCAACCTCATAAGGATAAGCTATCTACACCAGGACCCTTAAATGCTTGGCTTCAGACAATCTGCCCTTCCTAAAATTATTTTGGGCCAAAATTTCAAAAGGTCAAATTTGAATGGATTGTTTTGGGAAAAATTAGCGGGAAAGCCAAATAGAATAGATTGAAATACTCTTAAGAAATAGAGGTCTGAGTGCAGCTGTAGAGGCAGATAATTCTGAATAGTTCTCAGGAGGGAGGGTGATATCTAGCCTCCTCTCAGCAAAGGGTTTATCTATTTCCAAGAGTGGATAGGGAAAAATCCATTATAGAGTGTTGGATAGGAAAGGGAAAAAGATATGGTTGTATTGGTGCACAGAGTTACTCTCCTCTTGCAGTTAAACAACCCAAAATAACTTCTCATACTAAATATTTCATATACAAATTATATTTATGGAAAAAAGATGTCTGGGAATATGTAAGTAACAATGGATACAGCAAAGAACAAAACTTTGACAGAAAAAAATCTTATCCGGACTTTATGAACCCAAAAAGTATTTAATACTCTATAATTTTAAATGTGCTTGGCATACCTTATTTAATGGCAGTTAAATTCAGTAGTTGTATAAAAAATTATTACATACTATAAATAGCCTTTAATATAGATGATATAAGATATAATCTCTTAAAAGTACAGAAAATTGTTTTAAAATTATTCTATCAAACTTTCAGTACATAATTTTTGTGTGCAGAGCTGGACTATTTCAATAACTGGATTTTATGTTTATCAAGAATACAATCCAGTTTAAAACGTTGACTTTTACCACTTTGTTTAGCATGTAGTATGTTTTATACTTGGTTTGTAGTAAGTTAGTTTGGAAAATAGCTTATTAATAAAGTGTTTGTTTTACTCTCTAGGCAGACTGAATTTTTCTTTTTAAATAATTCATGCATGTTCATTGAAATAGTGCTAACAAAGTTGGGAAAGAGCCAGAGGAAATCAAGAAAGAGCATTCTTACATTGAGAACTATTTTGGATGTGAGCCTTGAGACTGAATGTTAGCATATTCTGACAGCCTTAGAAATGAAAACATAATTTAATATCTTAAAGGTGTATTATTTTATATTGGAGTAGTGAAATATATGTGATCACTGTTCATGTTAACTGCTGAGAATGCACAAACAATTTTCATTCAGCTGGTGCTTGCTCCTTCATTTTAATGTGGGATGTACTATATTGGCATGACTTGTGTGTGATTTATGACACTTGTCACTTATTAACTCAGAGAAATATGCCTTTGTGTATATCTTGTCTTCAACTGTGCTTCTTCGTCCTTACTTATAGAACCCCAAGGATTGCAGTAAAGCCAAGAAACTTGTGTGTAATATCAACAAAGGCTGTGGCTATGGCTGTCAACTTCATCATGTTGTCTACTGCTTCATGATTGCATATGGAACACAACGAACACTCATTTTGGAGTCTCAGAATTGGCGCTATGCTACTGGTGGCTGGGAGACTGTCTTTAGACCTGTAAGTGAGACATGCACAGACAGATCAGGCGCTACCACTGGACACTGGTCAGGTAAGATTCAATGAACAAGTCTCAAATAATTTTCCTTTCGCTGTGTCTACATTACAGGACTATATCATAACCTGTTTTTTGACTGTTAAGTATTGAGTAATAACTCACTATGATTGCAATTTTATGGATCATTATTTTTCCCTTCATTGTATTGTAATAGAACACTAGTATCCTCTCTTAGAGGATCCTGCTACATCAACAGGGAATTTTTATGCAAAAACAGTTCCAAATCCAGACCAAAATCCTTGAACAGTATATCAAGTTACATTGGGTGGCAGATTAGGATCTCATTTTTGTGAGGGAATAGCGATGGTACTAAAGAGACGCAAGTGCTAAAGTATATAATCATACTGAAGGAAGTATGAAATATAAATACAAAAAGCATATAATACATATTCATATACCAACAGAAACAATAATAAAACATAAATTTTTACTATGAATCAAATAGACTAGTAAAAACAGTAATTGGTGCCCATGTAGCAAGATAATGTGTTTATTTTTATTATTTAGGGCGGGAAATTAATCCATTATTTTATTTAAACAAATGCTTACAGAAGGAACATGGGGATTTTGCCATTGGGCAGTAATAGATAGTCTGACACGTATATACAGAAAACTGAGGGGGTGGAATCATTTTTTCTAGTGAAACCTCACTGTCAGCACCTAGCTGAGCTATGAACATAATTGTACATGAAAATTCCAAAATCATATTAGCTTGCATTTTGAACATTTGCCAAAATATTTGTATAAATGTACAATCCCATCAAATTAGTATGAATGAGCCTATTGCAGATGATTGGAAGTATGTCCGTCTTTTCCTCAAAGTCTAGGCTGAATATTGGCAAGAATTTTAACATCCAGCTCCCTGTTGTTTGAGTATCTTTTATGTGAATGATTGTTTCCAAAAGTATTTAATAGATTTTAGATAATCTTTCTCTATTATTAGATATATTAAATATTGTTTCTTCATAGTTATCTGATCATTTAAGCACTGTTGTCTTGTAAATGCATATGAGTTTGGAAATATTGGAAGAAATGTATGAGAAAGACCGTTTGGAATCTGGCCCACTGTGTCTTTAATAGATCAAAGGAACATAGCTGATGGTTCTGGTATAATCAACTAGATTAATCTAGTGAGATCCGAAAAGTCTCAGTTGCTATACAAAGATATGATTCCCAGAGGAAACAGTGGATTATTACAAAAGGGAGACAAAGGGAAAGGGAGTGGAGGGTATTAAATAGTTTTGGAAATTATTGTCCATATAATCATGGTGGTGAGTAAATAGGTTAATTACTGAGTGGGTAAAGAGTGGATAAACCTAGACTATGGAAGAAGAGAAATATATTCAAATGCTATATCTGGGATTTGTAGTTGTTCTGTAGAGGTCTAATGTTTTTGGGGGCAATTTCTGTGCCAGTCAGCTGATGGACCCAGCTGTGCTGCATAGTAGAGCGTTAAAATTGGAAGGCCAAACTACCTTTGAATTTGTTACCTGTCCAAATATATTTTAATATATGATTCTGGAGTTTTGTTAAATAGAATTGGAAAAGATACTAGAAGCACTTAAAGGTAGTTAATATGGGTTCATGTTAATGGTGTTTAACTGAGAAAATGACAGGTTTAAGAAATTCCAGTTAGCAAATATTGATTAAAATGAATAGCAAAAGGGGCATCATTTAATTTAAATAGCTCCAAATAATTGTTGTCGTTGCTTCAGTACTTTAGGAGGGACTACCATAAAGATAAACACAAAAAGTAAGGTGTCATTTGCATATAATGCTATCCATAGATCAGTACACCTAACTTTTATTCAGGTAATATGATTGCTGGACTAGAGATTCCATAGTAAGAATAAACACTAAGGGAGATAAAAACAGTCCTGCATTGTACTACATCTCAGGCCAAAGCTTTAGGTTCATTAGCTTTAATAAAAAAACGTCTGTTGATACATACATGGTATGTTAGTCATGTCCAAGTAAGGAGTTTGGGTCCAGTTACCATCTGCTCAAAGGCAGAATAGGAAGGATTGATATTTTTATTATCTATTTTAGAGTAGCTCTAGAGACCCACAAAAGGATTGTGGCCCCACCATCGCGGTCACTGTTGTTGAATTTCATTCACATATCATTATCCTTTTGAAAAGATATTACATTAGCTGGGGTGATAAATAAAATTATTTTGACTATATTTCAACCTTATCTGGATACGTTGATGGATCAGGGATCTCTCTCTGAGCTAATATCCATTTCGCTTCTAAAAATACTAGTTAACAACAGAATTCAGAACAGAAGTATTGAAATAAATGTATCTTCTTGTTGTTGCCAAGATTCCAGGTTTTCTCAAGATGATGTCTTTGTCAAGAAGTTCAGTAATTTGGCCGGTATAGGACTTGATTGACCTCTTTATGTCTGTGAAACAGCAGGTACTTACAGTGCCTGAAATGAAGGCTTCAGATCCAGTTAGGACCTTTAAAAGATTTTTCTCATGCACAGCCAACCCATTTTTCTTGCGTGAACTTTTGGATGAACTACATACACCAACACTCATAGAGGCAGCTCACTGGTGAGAAGTTTGTGTGCACAACTATTCCCTGGGTATACATTTATGAACTGCATCACAAAGCCAGTGTTCTACCGGTGGCTGACAGAAGCAGCTCACAGTATCTCTTTTCCCATGTTCATAGGGAAAGTCTTTGGATCCTGTATTTGCAGGTATTCATTTCCTGTTTATTCTTTCTCTCTCTCTCCTTCTCCACCCTCCCTCCTTTTCTGTCAGGCTCCTGACTCACAGATCTTGGTGGGGGAGTGGTCTGAAAGCAGGCAAGTACAGTAACTCCTCACTTAACGTTTGTAGTTATGTTCCTGAAAAATGTGACTTTAAGCGAATCCAATTTGCCCATAAGAATTAATGTAAATGAAAGGGTTAGGTTCCAGGGAAATTTTTTTCGCCAGACAAGACTATATATAATATATATCTCACACACACACACACTATAAGTTTTAAACAAACAATTTAATACTGGTACACAGTGATGATGATTGTGAAGCTTGGTTGAGGTGGAGGAGTCAGAGGGTGGGATATTTCCAGGGAATGCCTTACTGCTAAATGATGAACTAGCAATTGGCTGAGCCCTCAAGGGTTAACTCTCTCACTCTACTGTACAAGGCAGCAGGAAAGGAGGGAGGGCAGATAGAGACACACAACCTGTGTGTGTGTGTGTGTGTGTGTGTGTGTGAGAGAGAGAGAGAGAGAGAGAAGCATTTCCCCTTTAAGTATGAAGAGTGGGGTCAGAAGTAGACTGCCTTGTTAATTAGATCAGCAAGCTGAGACCCAACCGCAGCTGCTGCTGCCTGGAAGCTCCCTCTGTCATGTGTCCCCCCTGCTCTATGGAAGATGGGGTAAGCGGAGTGCAGGGGCAGGGGGACACCCTGACATTAGCTCCCCTCTGCCTTCCTCACACACAGCAAGCAGGAGTCTCGGGGACCAGCTCCAAGGCAGAGGGCAGGAGCAGCACGTGGCAGTGGGGGGAGGGACAGCTGCAATTGCTAGCCTGCTGGGCAGTTGCTGCACAGGGAACTTAGGGGAGTGGGGAGCTGATAGGGAGAGCTAATAGGGGGGCTATCGGTCCACTCTGGTTCCAACCACCCACCAGCTAGCTCCACCGGGCTGCTCTTCCTGCAAGCAGTGGACAAAGCAGGCGGCTGCCAAACGACGTTAGAAAGGGAGCATTGCACAACTTTAAACGAGCATGTTCCCTAATTGATCAGCAACGTAACAATGAAACAACGTTAACCGGGACGACTTTAAGTGAGGAGTTACTGTATGGCTAGTTCTGTCTGCCAGTACTTGTCTTCTCTGGCACTGGGCCTCTGGAGAATTGGGCCTATGCCAGCTCCTCTCAACAGGCATGGCTGTATGTTTCAGAAGGTCCCTGAACCAACTACTGAACTCAAAGATTACAGTCTGGGGGAGATACCTGAGATCTTTTGAGAGTGATGATTTCCTGAGTAGACACTGTTCAGTAGGCTCTCCTACATAAGAAGGACCTCCAGGCATTCCTCCTTTCATTAGAGGTTCAGCAGCCAGAATCTTTGAACAACCAGTTCATCCTCACGTATTGTGTCTTCAAATCTCTGAAATGGGTGGAATAGAACCAGACATCATTCTCTTCTTTGTAAATACAAGGTTTCAGAGTAGCAGCCGTGTTAGTCTGTATCCTCCTGTTCTTCTTTTTGTAAATACAGTTATTTTAGGATGATAAGCTTTGAAAGTCATTTACTGGGCTTGTGACATAATTTATAGGCTCTTACTTGGAGCAGTTGGGTATCAGATTTCACCAGTGATCTGCCTACATGAGTGCTGATGGTTATGGTCAATCCAAAAGTTTTTTTTCCAGACAAACAGATTTTCTGTTATGAGAACACTATTTACAGGCAAGAATAAACTAACTGTTCTACAGGTGTTTCAGGTCACTGCCCCCAGGCACACTAATTATGTGCTTAATAGTTTTCTTAGATTATTTCTAAATTGATTCTATTATAGGCAGAGTCCATAAGTTGCAAGACTTTCTCAGTAGTCTGTGATAACATGGTATACAGGGTTTTCAGAAACCCAAAGCAGTGGTAACTTTACTGTTTCTCTCCAGGCAGTGTAAGGAATACATCAATGGAGGCACAGCTCATCCATCTGATAAATAATTGGCACAAGCAAAAGTGCTTTCACTTAATGAAAAAGTAGTTTTAGATCTCTCTCACACTCACTCACTCACTGCGGTTGGACTAGGGTTTAGAGCATTTCAAAACATTTATAGTTACCCAAAAAGTCTGAAATGGTTCCACAGGATCAGCAGCCAGGCTTCTGAGGGGCTCCTCCTTCCATCTGACTGCTATGTGGTGTTTGGTTTTCAGCTGCCAGTGGCTGAACATACAAAATTGCTGAGTGCAGTACTGTCAAATACTGGGGTATATGCAGGAATGTCAATTCTAGGGTAACACAG